ATATATATGACACAATTTTTCAACAATGTTGCAAGGAGTTATATAAAAGTATGCGACAATGGGCTACTTTAATCTCTGTCAGATAAATTTGAGCGCAACGATCAGATTACAGGAATTATTAAGTGGTTATTTAATTACGTGTTTCGGTGAATATGCCAGAATGCCATCCGCTTATCAGTGATACTGAAACGGAGCAAAGTTATTTAACCTCTTATCAAACAACTACCGGTACCGTTTATCGAACAATGAATTATTGCAACGTTTTCGTCAACGCAGAATTCTGCTTCCAGACGTGAAATTGCGTTTGTCACGAACGTGGAAAATTGTTGTAAATGTTTTGAATGGGAGTTGGAGGCGGGCGGTCAGTAAACGAGTGTTTATTTATCTAACCGCCTATTGAGTAGCTCGAGAATTCGTCCATTATTGTTTTTTTTTTTTATAAAATAATATGCAGTAAATTATTGTTGTGTGGTGTGTTATTAATATAAAATAAATTATTGTTTTATGTTAAAGTAATATGCAATATATTATTATTGTATGTTAAAGTAATGTATAATATATTATTATTGTATTTTAAGTTATATATACATAATTAAATTCTTGTGTATATTTAACCAAATCGTTGTATATAAATAATTAAATTAAATTAAATTGTTATGTTCAAAATAATCTAGTTTCATATAAACAATCAAACTGTTGCATATAACTAATCAAATTATTATTTATAAACATTCAATTTCTCCAAAATAAACAATCAAACTGCATATAAATAATCACGAGTTGCATATAAATAATTCAAACAAACATCACTGATAATCAAAGTTTGCTCACCGTCTTTTTTAAGGAATCTGAAAACAAATATTGACGAATTTCATAAAATCAAATGCATCAAGCGTGTGATATTGATAGCGACCGTGCCGAGACATAGAGTACAGCAAACAAAAAGAGAAATTTCATAAATTCTCCACGAACGTTTCCTACACGACATTTTTTCGTGGTTACGCGCCGGCATGGAGTCGCGTAAACCGATCCGCTTGCTCATCTTTTCGAAACGGTGACGCATACCTATGGCTTTTCGTTCCGTTTAACTCGTAAATTATTCATCGAAGCGAAAAAGAAAGCTTTCGACGGAAGTTAGACCGTATGGCTACGATTGATCTCGTAGGATATCGATGGGCAACTCCCCCGCGAGGTCGTGGTTCATGGGCGGACATTTGTGGGCTATCAGTTTCAGAATTTATAGATTTCACGTGTTTTTTTTTTAAATCAAAGTAATAAACTTATAGGAAGAAATTATAAAAAACTCGAGAACTTGCAAATTTACACATTTGAAATTTGAGAACTTGAACATTTAAAAACTGGAAAATTTGAAACTGGGAAACGTGAACACTTGAGTACTTGAACTTTGAAAAATTAAAACTTGAAACTTGAAAACTTGAAAAATTGAAACTTGAAAACTTGAAAACTTGCAACTGGGGACTTTGAAAACTTCAAACTTGAATATTTGAATACTTGAAACTTGAAAATTTGAAAAATTGAAACTTGAAACCCCTTGCAACTTGAAAATTTGAAAACTTGAAAAATTAAAAATTGAAACTTGAAAACTTGCAACTTGAAAATTTGAAAACTTGAAAACTTGAAAAATTGAAACTTAAAAACTTGCAACTTGAAAATTTAAAAACTTGAAAAATGAAAAAATTGAAACTTGAAACCTTGAAAATTTGAAAATTTGAAAACTTGAAACTTGAAAACCTGATACTTGAACAATTTCAAACTTGAACATTTAAAACTTAAAAATTGCTAAAAGTTCGAAAAGTTCAAAATCTATAAATTCAATATATCATTCTCTTTGCCCACCATTATTATTACACACACCGGGCAAATCGTTGCCCGTGAGCTATTGAAAGGTCAGCTGATCTCATCGTTATCATTGAAACTCTAGCAAAAACTTGTGAGTAGACGATGATCGATAAAATAGCAGAAAATATGTATTCCACGCTGAATCACTCGGACAAACAAAAACAAACTCGTCGTTCGATTTCGTTGTTCTCGTTCATCTGCTTATTCAGCGTGGTCGTTTATCAATTTATAGGGTTATTGATGGTTAAAGTGCAACGCGTATGTAACAAATCGCTGGAAGCATGTAGACGTACATGTTACTCTACGACTTCTAGTGTCTCGTGTCTTTGAGTTAAATTTAACTCTACATATTTTTTCAAACATGTGTTGTGTATAGTTAATATGAGTTATAATATATGTACATATATTGATTGTATGATTGATTATAGAAAACAGATATTAATGCATAATAAACATATAGTGATATATGATCGATTGTAATTGATATACATACATATATTAATACATGATCGATTATAACAGACATACATATATTAATACATCATCGGTTACAATAAACATACATGTATACTGATATATACGTATACATCATGGTGTACAAATATTACATATTGATATGCGATCGATTATAATAAATATGCATTGATACATGATTGACTACAAATATTACATATATTGATACGTGATCGATTACAAATATTACATATATTAATACATGATCGATTATAACAGACATACATATATTAATACATCATCGGTTACAATAAACATACATGTATACTGATATATACGTATACATCATGGTGTACAAATATTACATATTGATATGCGATCGATTATAATAAATATGCATTGATACATGATTGACTACAAATATTACATATATTGATACATGATCGATTACAAATATTACATATATTAATACATCATCCATTACACATATGTACATATATTGATACATGATCGATTACAAATATGTACACACATTGATACATGATCGGTTACAGTAAATATGTATTGACACGTGATCGACCGTAACGAACACGTACTCATATATGATCGACTACAAAAACATAAATTGATCCATAGTCAACTACAAAAAATACATATTGATACATGATCGATTATAAAAAATATGTACTTGTACATGATAGACTGTGATAAACATATATTAGTACATGTTCGACTATATTAAACATATATGGAAACATGATCGACTATAATAAACATATGTTGATATACAATCGACTATATCGGACTGACATTGAATGTACAAGTGATAGATCAGACAGTTTTCAGTCATGATTCTTTTTTTTTTCGATGAATAAGTATTATCGAGCTTCATGTGTAACACAATTGTATCGTATTTTCAGCAAACCCTCAAACATCTGTTAATTAGTCACTATTATGTCGTGAATCGATATTGAAACAGAAACAAACTAGAACTCAATCCTGCTCTAGTCGAATTACACAGTTGCAACTTACAACTGGCTTCGTCTACCGCCTAGCTTTTACTTTCATCGCCAATATTTCTTGATTCTCTTTTTACTTGCTGAAGAAATTCTTGCGTGCGTGATGTATGCTCGGGTACAAGGTAGATTTACTCGGTTCAATCTTCTGAAATGGAATTTGTGAATTTGTATGTAAAAAAGACTAAGTTTTGTAAGTTTGAACATTTGGAAGTTTAGGCATTTGGGAAATTGTAAATTTTGAAATTTGGAGGTTGAGAATTTCATAATTCTTAAATTTAAAGTCATAGAATTTAAGATTTTGTAAATTTGAAAATTTGGAGATTGAAAATTTGGGAACTGACAAATTGTAAATTTGTAAAATTCATAATTGAAAAGTTTGCATAATTTAAAATGAAAACTAAATAGCAAAGCCATCATAAAACACTAATACAGTTTGTATTCTATTCAATATAACAATAAATTACAGAATACAATAAGTTGCAATACTTATACAGTTGCAATACTTGTAGAGTTGCTTCACACCTCAGAGATCCTATTGCTTCCTACAACTTAAGAAAAAATATTTAAAAAATCCCCTTTTGACTGAAAGTATACGAATAAAAAACATCTTTACATCTTTCTGAGTGACGTTTGCGAAGCAAGCTTTTAACGAGTTGCTAGTTGGCGATCATTCTTTGGTAAATCATCGGATAAACTTGTTACTCGATGACCAAGCTTCGCAACGATACAACCTAACCTATACAAATAACATTTGTATCGCGCGCTTTCTACGTAACGAGTTCAGGGTTAACTAAAATAAATACGCGTAAACCGATTACTTAAAAAATGTTACAAGTTGAAGGTAACGTAGCTTTCCGAGCACGGTTTTTAATTTGTAGGACAATGTTGTAATACAGTTGCGATTTACTGTAGCCCAATAGGTTAGGTAACTACTAGTGGATCAAACGTTACGGTCTCTATTTTCAAATTTCTTAACACTATGCCGTTCATCTTAATACTGTTTCATGTGAAAATTATTCAAGTCTGGGAGTGGTCATTTATATTGTATGTTTACCTGTTTTATTTACATATTACTGTTCTGAATTTGGGAATTTGAAAATTTGAAAATTTTAGGATTTGGGAAACTAGTCATTTAAGAATTTGGAAATTATGGAATTGTAAAAATATTAGAATTAAAAAATTTGAGGATTCAAAAATGTGAAGAATTAGTCATTTGTGTCTTGAGAAATATTTACAAATTTAGGAAGTGTAGAATTTAATTTATTCCCATAACAATACAAAAAAATAATCCCACAAATGAATCACAATATGAATTAAAATACTTCTGAAATATTTTCACTTGCATAACAATCTAAAATAAGTCTTACATTTATCAAAATTTTACATGCAAATTTAACAATAAAATGACAAAAGGTGCGTTGAAACTACAATCAGTCATTTTCGTCCTCTGAACTAAAATATAATTTAAGACAAGAAATAATAATTACTAAACTAAATTTTATATTCGCACTTAAGGTATATATTACGTTCACTGTATTTTGTGATATAGATGTGTTTTACTAACACAGGATATATTTGAACAAAAGTCCTTCGAGAGATATCGTTATTGACAAATTTTTACGCGGTTTGTCGGGACTATTTGTCGATCGGTGGTTGGTATGATTGCAGACGTACTCGGGGCTCTTCTGCGTGGTGGTAAATCCATACAAGAGGCTGCCAATTTACACGGAAAAGATAATGGAGAGGTATAAGGGTATTAAGAGACACGAGGTTCCACCCCATGTTTTCGCCATTACGGACACCGCATATCGTTCCATGCTTCAAGGTAATTGATTCGTCCATTCGTTTGTTCGACCTCTGTTTTATTCTCTGGAAGCCATATCAAAATTGTACTTGTCATTTGACGCGACAAAGATTTTTTTTCCATTGTCATACTTCCATTTTATTCTGAATAAATACATGGGATATCTAGAAAAATATTTGTAAAGTAATAAATGCATGATAACAAAGTAAAAAACATATGATATAATACAGTAATACAGTAACATGTCATAATAAAATGATAAACATATTTTTTTCATTGACATACACTTCAAATTTATTCTGAATAAATATGATATCCAGAAAAATATTTGTGAAGTAATAAACGTATGTTATAAAGTAATGACATATGTTATAACACAGTAGTAAACATGATGTTTAACCTTAAAATTCACCAGCAGTATAATAGAGATTCATACCTGTCATTGCAACTCATATGTACCGTAAAATCCGTATGTACTTGTTTATAATATAACAAATATAATGTACATATATGTTTAACCCTAAAATTCATCAGCAGTATAATAAAAATTCATACCTGTCATTGTAAAATCCGTATGTACTTGTCTATAATATAAGAAATATAATGTACATACTAAAAATGTCAATCTTTCTCGATTTTAAATCACACTGCAATTATTATAGCTTCCACTGCAGAAGTCTGTAAAGTCTGTAATTCAATCTTCCCGCCATCTTGAATTTCGTACTGTAAACAAAAGATCATTAATAAAAATGTACATGTAAAATTTTTCGTGACTTTCAGAGAACAAATATTCCGAGTCAAAGCGACATAACCTCTTAAGCGGAAGGAGGAGATTAACCTAATGTTTTTGTTTGTGATTCTGTTCGATAGATCGAGAAGACCAGTCGATTCTGTGCACCGGCGAATCTGGCGCAGGCAAAACGGAAAACACTAAAAAAGTAATTCAATATCTGGCCTACGTAGCTGCTTCAAAGCCAAAATCTAATGCGGTAAGTGAACGACTAAACGTTTTCGTTCTTCATAGAGATCGGTAGATTTCTTATTTAGTCCGTAATGTCGAAAGAGTCTAGCGCAACGAAAGAATGAGAAGTCGTGTTCGCGGAAGTAAATTGAAGTCTTAGTTTTTTTCTGTTGTATATATTTTCTTCGATAGTTTAGTTTAGGGTATCGCTGGTTGAAACGTAATCTACGTATTTGTTCTATTGTACATATTTCCTTGGATAGTTTAGGGTATCGTAGCACGCGTTATCACATTTTGTATTTTTAGCTTGACAAAGCTATTTCCGTACGCGTTTTCTTTTACACGACGCACCGTGTCAGTTCGTCTTCCTGTTCACTTGCGACTATGCACACAGAGCAACAAACGCCGATGATTTAAATGTATCAAATGATCAAATATAAAAAAGAGAAGGTTATGAACGTTTCCTTATCTGCCGTTTAGAATTGTTATACGTTATTTACCGACTGGCGTTCTTGAAAAATGAGAAAATATCAAAGCAGTCTTTGCATCCCTGTCGGAAAAACCAGTGATGGGCAAATTTGCCCGTCAGGGCACATGAGTGTGCAAGTTTGTGTATCTTGGAATATTTATTGGTAGATAAATTTTTTAATTTGAAAATATAAGAGAATTAGAATATTTTTAAGGAGTTTTGAAAATTTAGTATTTTGATACTTTAATATTCTCAAGATTAGAATTTAATTTAATTTGAGATTATCAATTTAATTTACATTAGAATTATTAATTTAATTTAATTTATAAAATAAATTTGATTTATTAATTTCTTAGCTTAATACTATTATAAATAAATATTTCTAAATTGACAGATTTGAAAATTAAAAATTTCTATGATTCTATGAGGGCATTGATCTGCCATCACTGGTAAAGAGAATCAATTTTCTAGAGCATTTTCTAGCATCCTCCTTCGATGCATGAAAATTTCTGTAAATACTTATTTTTCTTCTCTTTTTCCGTGCATGATGCTTCGTAAATTTCGACCGGTTACAAACCGTAAAAATGAACTTCCTTACGAAGAAACGAGAAAACGAACTTTGAGACGTGAAATTTGACGAACATCACGATCTGACAGTAAAAAAATCTTTATGCACGGAAATCTACACGCTATCGTTTTTTTCTGAGGAATGGTGGCGAAACATGGGAAGTCCAACCACAATTTCCGTGTTTAGATAAATTTCAGTATAGGTTAAAACTGAGCTACGCCATCTTTGTTTCGATCGCGTTTATTAAAGAATTTTATTCCTTTAATATTTTTAATTTAAGTCAAGTAATTTAATTGTATAACTTAATCGGCTAATCAAGATGATTTGAAAGCGTTTAAATTAACAAAAAAACTGTCGGATAACTAATTAATTAGATTCATTTATTTCAGCTTCTTATTTTTGTATAGTGCAGAGTATAGTAGATTTCCCTAGGGAAATTGATGCAGTACCACACTACTCTTGTGCAAATAGTTATTCAGAAATATTTGATGCAGTATTTATTTTATTATTATTATTAATATTTTCTGGTTAATATTATTAATATTGATATTTTGTGGACAGAGTTAGTAAATATAAAATGAGTGAAAAATGAAAAAATGTAAATTATAAAAAAATGTAACTATAAAATGAAATTTATGTAAGTGCTAATAAAATTCAAATTTTCACTTTAATAAAATACTTGAATTACTTGAAACTTATTCACTTAATTATTGAAGTACTCTATGAAGTACTTCAGGTACTGAAATTAAAATAAATTTGAGAGGAAACTAAGTTAGTAAAAAAGTCAACATTAATTTTTTTAAATTTTAACTAAATTTCTAAATTTTTTTGGAGGGAAAAAAATTTGTTTGAGGCACATTAACAAGTATAGTCACGAATATAAAGAGTGGTGGGGTTCTGAGTCAACATTTTCCCCAGGAGTCAACCAAACTGCTATACAAAGTATCGTGATTAAAAAAAGATACACCGTTACACGCTAGACAAATTAATACGTTAATTAGAAGATAACCATGACGAATGCTCGATTAAAATGGTACGTGTTGTTATTGAAAAAGAAAGAGAAAAAAGATGTATGCATAAATGAAATGATCATTACGCAAGAGCGTAGTGAATCGTTGATGAAATCGACCGTCGAATACCGAAAGACTGTTCTCGGATCGGGATAGATGACGATAGGCCATCGTAGATCACACTGGTATTCGAAGGATCTTTCCTTTTTCAGTGAAACGATCCACTTATCAGCCTAACTCGGCTTTGAGTCATTCTCGTTCGACCGTTCTGACTCATCGTGTGCTTCGAAACTCGTGTTCTTATATAGAAAAAAAAAATACGCTCGTCCCCTTTGCCTGCGACTTAGAATTCGTTATTAACGGCCAACTCGTTAACGATCGACGAAAATTTCTTCGACGATTTCGATGCATGAACTCGTCGTTAACGCGCAGCAGTACGCGTTTGAAATTTTGTTAATCGATGCGAAAAGAATGTTATGGGGGTTTCGAAATTTCAAATTACCTCGTTAAGGATTACGGTTACGTTATAATCGACAATTAAATACCTTTTAATTGGACTTCAAATTTAATTGAATGATTTTTCGATTGATTATTCAATCTTCAAGTTTATATAAATCTGGGGTCAAATTTTTTATTGTTACTTGTCAAATAACAAGTCATTGTAATTGTCCGATTTTTTAATTAGCAAACTGTATTTTTTTTAAAATGATAATTAGAATTTAATTTCTAATTGAACATTATATTTGGTAATATCCTAAATTAGGAAAATTTAATTTCTTTATTTTTGTTGCAAATTATTACCGTTTAAGTATATCATTAACATCATTTTTAATTAGAAATTAAATCGCTTTGGAGAAATTAGAGTCAAGAATTTAAATTCATTTTTATTTAAATTTTAATTTTAATTCGGTTGAATTAAGATTGTTGATTGCAAGTTTTGATTAATCATTGTATAATATTGCAAATGTATAACAATATACAATAATAATTATTGAAAATCTTTTTTCCCTAATAACTTTTCTGTTTCAGATTGTTATAATGTTGCAAATATGCAATATTATACAATATCTTATAATGAATAAATTTGTTGTAAACAAAATATTTTTTTATTAATATACAAATATTTTTATTTCATCAAATTAATTAAATTAATTTACTTGATCATTTACTTTATCTTTAACTTGACAAGTTTAAATAAAAAATCCAACTTGAATTTTCAATTTAAAGTCATTCAATTTACACCTACATTTACTCAAACACTGAACAATAATTAAAGCTTTAGTAAATTTTCTAGAATTACAAGTAAAGCTTTAACTATTGTTTAAATCGAAAACTGCTTGAAACCCTGTTATCGACTATCGATGGGCACGACAAAAATTTGTCAAAAGAATAATATCGCACTGGACCCTTGCACCCGAGGCTCGTGAATTTAATTTTGCAAATTCTTTCATTCCCGGTGCTGACTTTCGGCGGCCACGACACACCTAGACACCGAGTCCGGCATTAATCATAGTAAGTCAACAACAAAATGATCAACATTCCGCTCACGCGATCATGTACGCTGCTATCTGCCTTCCTTACGTTTCTCTTCTCTCATTCTCTCTTTCTCTTATTCCTCTTTTTGTTGGTTCTCACTTCCCGCCCCCCATGTTTTCAAAAGCTTGTTCCACTAACTGTTTGTAACTTGTGGTTTCTGGACGTTTCTTTTTTTCTATTTTTAATAACCCGGTCGGCTTGATCATTGCGCGCACGTAAAAGCGTACGTCATTGCATTTCGTTTCCTAGCCTTTCGTTGTTGACTTTTGCGATCAGTGTAGCCAAATTTTTCAAACACGCTAACGAGCGTTAATGCGCGGGCAAACAAATCGCGAGGCGCCAAATTTAAATCGAGTGACGCCATGTTCGAGTGACGCCATATACAAATAAAACTTAAATCATAATTATCGTTACGTTAAATAATAATACATATACGAGCATAAAAATGATTTAGCAATGTTCCTTTGAAAATATTTACATTTATTTTTGAGTGATCGCGTTTAGAAAAGTAGCAGTTAACGCTTGAAACTTTCAATCGCGTGCGTTAAATAGTGGGCTGCGCGGAGAATATGCGCAGTAAATCGGAAGAGTTTGCTCGTAAGACTGATTCACATGCAGCGCTTGTTGCAAAACCGTCAAAAACAGTTCTGAAAGTAAATAAGTCATTTGATATACGAGGAACGAAAATACGATAAAAAGGTTATTATACGATAAAAATTAGAACAAGGAAGAAATAATATAGTAGAAATAATATAAAATAAAATTGATTCTTTTAGAAATGCGATGGAGCGTCTAATTTGGCTACACTGTTTACGATGTCAACATAATAATGGCGTTTAGTACTCGATGGAAAATTAATCATCGTTCCCCTTACCTCATTTTTCGTACTAACGAAACTTAACCGAAAGACGATAATAGTAGTTGAAGAAGATAGAGTTATCATGGCTTATCGGACGAATAAAGGGAGTGTTCTAAAATTCTAACAAATTTCCTTATTTTTTTCTCGCTGCTCGCTGGATTCAGGGTTCCGGAAATATTTCGGATAAATTTGCGGTAATTAACGTGAGAGTCGACTAATTTAATTATGTATTCGTTAACGTGTTGTGTGTCGTGTTTGTATGCGTATGTTCGTGGCGTTGTATGCTTTTTAGGTATTTGTTTCCTATCCTTTTTTTTTTCTTCTTGTATAATATTTTACTAATAATAATAGCCGCAGTTATAGAAATACAGTGAGTTAAAATCGTAAAGCTCGTAAGAAATATTTTTAGACAATGTTGTAAATATGCGTAAAATGAAATTAGAAATACTGCAATACATTTTCTTTTAATGCAACAATCTGTGTAATTGTAAAAATATTTGAACAGTATACAAGCGCTAAGTAAGCGGTTTGGTATTTCCCAATTCATTGCAGTTGTGCCAACATACCATTTTTACCGACCGATGGTAACTTTGTCTTTAGAAAAGTATTCTATTTATTACAAATATATTGTATTACAGATACAATAGGAATAGATTATTTTATTTGTTTAATATTTACAATATTCTGTAAAAAAAATGTTTCGTACAGTGCTGTACAATTTTAAACAATGCTCACTGTAATTTATTTCTGCCCAATTATTCGTTTCGAAAGAACCATAATTATCGATATCAATTTAAAGATTTCGAATGACTTATCGATACGGTCTCTGTTTCGAGAGCGTCGTTTAATTATGGTTCGTCGGTTCGAATGTTACGCAACGTTTAACTAAATAAAGTAAAAGCGGACACGATTCCGTGATTAATCGCTTTAATTACAGGCTAAGGTGCTATCGTAATCGTATTTTCATAGAGGCAATTACTTCTTTTAATTATGATCCTTGCTATGCTTCGTATAAATTGTTTCTTGTTCTTTACTTATCGTCAAATTATTATGGGAAGTAATCTCAAATCAGTGTCGTATTGGAGAGTTACGTTGAATACGTAATTATTTTGCTGTGCAATTAATTATTTTGCCATCATTTGCAAGATTTTTTAATGGTCAACTATTAGTGAATTGCATTGGCGTAACTAGGTGGGGTTCGTGGTAGGTGTGGGTTTCAAGATTTTTGGTATTTCAAAATTTGAAGATTGGGGTCTTTGAAAGTTTAGAAATTTGAAATTTTTGATATTTTTAAATTTGGGTCTTGAGAATTAGGAATTTGGGGACTTGAAAATTTGGAAATTTGCAATTTGGAAACTTGAGAATGTAGAAATTTAGAATTTTGGGATTTCAGAAATTTGGAACCTTGAGAATTTAGAAATTTGAAATTAGGGATCTTGAGAATTTAGAATTTTGAAATTTGGGATCTTGAGAATGTAGAAATTTAGAATTTTGGGATTTCAGAAATTTGGAACCTTGAGAATTTAGAAATTTGGAATTTGGGATCTTGAGAATTTAGAATTTTGAAATTTGGGATCTTGAGAGTATAGGCATTTGGAATTTGGGATCTTGAGATTTGGAATTTTTTAAATTTAGAATTTGGAAGTTTGAGAACTCAGAATTTTGGAATTTGAGAACTTAAGGATCTACGGCTTAAAAATTTCAAAATTTATATATTTTTAACACCTACTAATTTTCGTAAGTAATACTACCTTACCGTTATCCTTAGGAAAGAGAGAAGTACTCGATAATTCCCTACATCCCCACCCCTCCATTTATTCTACATCTACCTCGTCCAAATCCTAGTTACGCCAATACCTCGAATGTCAATGTCAAACATAAATGTTTAAACCATAATTCAATATCTCATCAAAACTTCAAGATAATTTATTCAACCATCGTGTCACATGATCAATCAAAATTCCTTATTCTGAACGGTGTTATCATTTTTTCACGATAGGGTGAATTGGAACAACAACTTTTGCAAGCAAACCCAATCCTGGAAGCCTTCGGAAACGCCAAGACTGTGAAAAACGACAACTCCTCGCGATTCGTAAGTGGACATCAATTTTACCCGATGAAATATCGGATTAAATGTTAAACGAGGAAGTTTCGAATCAGAAACTTTTCTTCTTCGAATAATAATAGAGGGTTTGTTGAACAGGGTAAATTTATTCGGATAAACTTCGATGCTTCCGGTTATATCGCTGGTGCGAACATAGAAACTTATCTTTTGGAGAAATCGAGAGCGATTCGACAAGCGAAGGACGAAAGGACTTTCCATATATTTTATCAACTTCTTGCTGGTGCTTCCCCTGAACAAAAGAGTAAGCAAACATTCTATCTGATTCTTTTACAAGCAGCGATATTTTTTATTTGATCCACTGCCGATTATTAACGCAAGTTTATATGTAAATCTACGCATATTTATTGCCTTTTAGCGCATTCTTATTCACCTTTTAGTTTTGTTATACGTCTGTATATTTTTGAAAAAATAACTTTCGCTGTGAGGGAAATTGTCCATATAACCCGAGGGCGAATTTCATAAGCGAAGGTCATATATTCGGAAATTTTTCAACTGTAATTAATGGTATCGATGGAATAAACTTCGAAACATTCATATTTCTTTCGACCATATATTACCATAATCGTCTCTGAATTCTGCCAACTTCAAATTAATTTTTGTTCTTGTGACAATCTTTCATTTTTTGCTTCTTGCGATAAAGAATTAGTGCTAATTGTATTTCACTCAAAAAGAGACATCAGTTGGATCATCCAACAATACTATATACAATGCTAATACATTTCAATGATAAATAATTGCAATTAATAAATTATAACATCCAATAATTTTCGAATTAAGAAACTAGAATTATCGTTTTGTTTGTCATAAACAAATATTCTTACAAATATCTTAAACTACCTTCTTCAATCGTGTCTTGGACTGATATCTTGTTTCCAAGAGCGAAATCATATGTGAGCAAATTTTATTGTACACACTTACTTTACATAAAATCTTGGTGGTATTAACCTGACACCCTGTATATTACAATGGGTCAATTGTGTGTTTCATTAATAGCTCATAACGCTAAATAAATAGCTCAAGAAATAAATAATAATTGCACGAGATTCCCAAACGACGACGACGGCAGTGAATGTTTTAAATAAACAAAGAAGATTGACGAAAGTTTACCGATTTTTAGAGGAATTTATTCTGGAGGATCCAAAGCACTACCCGTTCCTGTCGAATGGCGCGCTGCCGGTTCCAGGGGTGGACGATTCGGCCGAGTTCTTCTCGACCGTCAAATCCATGCACATCATGGGTATGACGAACGAGGACTTTTCGTCGATCTTCCGCATCGTGTCCGCGGTGATGCTGTTTGGTTCGATGCAGTTCCGTCAGGAGAGGAACTCGGACCAGGCTACATTACCGGACAACACCGTGGCCCAGAAGATTTCTCATCTGTTGGGTCTAAGTGTGACTGAAATGACGAAAGCGTTCCTGAAACCGAGGATCAAAGTGGGCAGGGACTTTGTGACGAAAGCACAAACGAAGGAACAAGTGGAGTTCGCGGTCGAAGCTATTTCGAAAGCTTGTTACGAGAGGATGTTCCGGTGGCTGGTGAACAGGATCAACCGATCGTTGGACCGCACGAAGAGACAGGGAGCTAGCTTCATCGGCATCCTCGACATGGCTGGTTTTGAAATATTCGAACTGAACAGTTTCGAGCAGCTTTGTATTAACTACACGAACGAGAAGCTGCAGCAGTTGTTCAATCATACCATGTTCATCTTGGAACAGGAGGAATATCAGAGAGAAGGAATCGAATGGAAGTTCATCGACTTCGGACTGGATCTGCAGCCGACCATCGATTTGATAGATAAACCTATGGGTATCATGGCGTTATTGGACGAGGAGTGTTGGTTCCCCAAGGCCACGGATAAAACGTTCGTTGAGAAACTGGTAGGCGCACACAGCGTGCATCCTAAGTTCATGAAAACCGACTTCAGAGGCGTCGCGGACTTCGCTATCATACATTACGCCGGAAAAGTTGATTATTCCGCTGCTAAATGGTTGATGAAGAACATGGATCCTTTGAACGAGAACGTGGTCAGTCTGCTGCAGAGTTCACAGGATCCTTTCGTCTGCCACATTTGGAAGGATGCCGAAATCGTTGGCATGGCTCAGCAGGCGTTAACGGACACGCAGTTCGGCGCTAGAACGAGGAAGGGAATGTTTAGGACCGTCTCCCAGTTGTACAAGGAACAGTTGGCGAAATTAATGGTTACCCTGAGGAACACTAATCCGAATTTCGTGAGATGCATCATACCGAATCACGAGAAGAGGGCCGGGAAGATCGACGCTCCTTTGGTGCTAGATCAGTTGAGGTGTAACGGTGTTTTGGAAGGAATTAGAATTTGTCGACAGGGATTCCCCAACAGAATACCGTTCCAGGAATTCAGACAAAGATATGAGCTTCTGACACCGAACGCCATTCCAAAAGGATTCATGGACGGGAAGAAGGCCTGCGAAAAAATGGTACGTTTGGTAATTGTATGAAATCATTTTTAATTAAGATGTTGATTTTATTAACATGTAAACTTGTTTCAGATTCAAGCCCTCGAACTCGATCCTAATCTGTATCGCGTCGGTCAGTCGAAGATTTTCTTCCGTGCCGGAGTTCTGGCTCATCTCGAAGAGGAACGCGATTACAAGATCACCGATATAATCGTGAACTTCCAAGCGTTTTGCCGTGGTTTCCTCGCTCGTAAGAATTATCAGAAACGTTTGCAGCAATTGAACGCCATCAGGATCATCCAGAGGAACTGCGCTGCTTATCTGAAACTTCGAAACTGGCAGTGGTGGCGTTTGTACACCAAAGTGAAACCTCTTCTAGAAGTGACCAAGCAGGAAGAAAAATTAACTCAAAAGGAGGATGAACTGAAACAAGTACGGGACAAGTTGGAATTACAGTTGCACTCTGCTCAGGAGTATGAACGAAAGTATCAACAAGCCATCGAGGAGAAAACCATGCTGGCGGAGCAGTTGCAAGCTGAGGTTGAATTGTGCGCGGAAGCGGAAGAGATGCGAGCAAGGCTAGCCGCGAGGAAGCAAGAACTGGAGGAGATTCTTCACGATTTGGAAGCAAGAATCGAAGAAGAGGAGGAAAGGAGCGCCGCGTTGACTCAAGAGAAGAAGAAACTGCAATTGAACATAAGCGACCTTGAGGAGCAACTGGAGGAGGAGGAAGCCGCCAGGCAAAAATTACAGTTGGAAAAAGTGCAATGCGACGCGAAAATAAAGAAACTCGAAGAGGATCTCGCCCTGTCGGAGGACACCAATCAGAAGTTGTTGAAGGAGAAGAAGATTCTTGAAGAAAGGGCGAACGACTTGTCGCAAACACTGGCGGAGGAAGAAGAAAAAGCGAAACATTTGTCGAAATTGAAAGCTAAACACGAGGCAACGATTGCGGATCTTGAAGAAAGATTGTTGAAGGATCATCAACAGAGACAAGAGGTGGATAGATCGAAGAGAAAGATAGAAACCGAGGTATCAGATTTGAAAGAACAACTCGCGGAAAGGAAGACCCAGGTAAAATATCTTTTATTATTAAATTGTTATTAAATGTAAGGTTTTATATAGAGATTGATGATAAAGTAAAATTGATTTTAATGTTTTTGATGATAATCGTTTTAGGTGGAAGAACTTCAGTTGCAACTAGGTAAACGTGAGGAAGAATTGAATCAAGTGATGGCAAAGATGGACGAAGAAGGAGCAGCGAAAGCACAAGCTCAGAAAGCTCTTCGGGAACTAGAATCTCAATTAGCCGAGCTGCAAGAAGATTTGGAAGCCGAGAAAGCCGCGAGAGGAAAAGCGGAGAAATTAAAACGTGACCTAAACGAGGAATTGGAGGCATTGAAAAACGAGTTGTTAGATTCTCTCGATACGACCGCTGCCCAACAGGAATTGAGGAGTAAACGAGAACAGGAATTGGCGACATTGAAGAAGAACTTGGAAGAAGAAACGTCGATGCACGAAGCAACGTTGGCCGACATGCGTCACAAACACACGCAAGAATTAACCGCGTTGAACGAACAAATGGACGCATTGAAAAAGACAAAAGCCGTACTGGAAAAGGCGAAAGCAACATTGGAGGCTGAAAATGCTGATCTGGCGACGGAACTCAGATCCGTTAGCGCCAGCAGACAGGAATCAGATAGAAGAAGAAAGCAAGCCGAACAACAGCTTGCTGAAGTGAATGCAAAACTCGCGGAAGTTGAGAGAAACAGGCAAGAGTTGGTAGAAAGAGTAACGAAATTGCAACAAGAAGCTGAAAGCGTCATGCAACAGTTGGAGACTGCGGAATTGAAAGCTTCTGCGGCTATTAAAGCTTCGGCAACTTGTGAATCTCAGTTTACGGAACTTCAACAACAACTTGAAGAAGAGACCAGACAGAAGTTGGCTTTGAGTTCGAAATTGAGAGCGCTGGAAAGCGAAAAAGAAAGTCTTCACGACCAATTGGAGGAGGAAGAAGAAGCGAAGAAAGCTTTAGATAAACAGGTAATATCGCTAGTAGTGTTAAGCTTATTAACTTATGAAGAAAATTCTGGACAGAATTTATTTCTTTATGAAAAATATTTGTTATTATACAATAAGCTCTATCTACAATATGACAAAGTTATATGAATTTACTTTATAAAATTATCTTCTTATCATCGATATTGCAATTAAGTGGTGGTTTAAAATATAGGTCCTCGGCTTAAACGTACAATTGGCTGAAGCTAAGAAGAGAGCAGAAGAAGAAGCAGAAGCTGCAGCGGCGTTAGAAGAAGCTAGGAAGAGATGCACGAAAGACATTGAGGCGCTTCAAAGGCAAGTTGAAGAATTACAAGCTGTCAATGATAAATTAGATAAATCGAAGAAGAAAGTTCAAGCGGAATTGGAAGATAGCATTATCGAGCTCGAAGCGCAAAGAGCAAAGGTGCTGGAGTTGGAGAAGAAACAAAAGAATTTCGACAAGGTAATTATCTGTTAATGAAATTTTAAATAACTAAATTTTTGCTTAATTTAATCTTCAATGTTGATCTTAATTTTATTAAGATCCGCTTGTATTGATAACGATAGAATAGTTCTTATTTTTAACTTCCGTATTAATTTTTTATTAATAGAATTATCATTTCTTTCTTTTTCTTTTAACAATTAACGATAGTTTGGGGAACTTTCTGTAAGTTTTTTATATTATGATTATTAGTTTAGTGACTCTTGAAGCTTTCGCGGTAGTTAAGTTCAAATTTAGCGAGGAACTTTATTCGATGTTTTATCACATGTTAGTAGATGTATCGATTAACTCTTAAACTTATTATATTTATAGCTATTTGTGGCAGCTTTTATTTACATTTACGCTAACGTTTATACATGACAGCAATCGTATTAGCCTATTAATTGTCGGAGCTAGAAAGTAAGTTGTCTTCAGGGTACAGTAAAAAAGCACAAAAATTAATGGTCACAAGAAATATAGTAAAGATATTGCCTACACACAAATATTAATGGGTTAAACGATATAATAAAATTGATACGATAAAAAAAAAAACGATTGGTTTTAATGTTTCATACTAGGTGCTGGCCGAAGAAAAAACCGTCTCGGAGCAATACGCGGAGCAGCGGGATGCCGCGGAACGCGAAGCTCGCGAAAAGGAAACCCGGGTGTTGTCATTGACCCGTGAACTCGACGAAATGAACGAAAAGGTCGAGGAACTCGAACGGATTCGTCGTGGTCTTCAATCCGAACTGGACGAACTCGTGAACAACCAAGGGACGGCTGACAAAAATGTGCACGAGCTGGAGAAGGCGAAACGCGCTCTCGAGTCTCAATTGTCGGAGCAGCGTTCTCAAGTGGAGGAACTCGAGGATGAGTTACAATTTACGGAAGATGCGAAACTGCGGTTAGAAGTAAATATGCAAGCTCTGAGAACTCAATTCGAACGAGATTTGCAAGCCAAGGAAGAACAGGCGGAAGAGAAACGAAGAGGATTAGTGAAACAGTTACGTGATCTTGAAGCAGAGTTAGAAGATGAGAGGAAGCAGAGGGCCGCTGCTATCGCGCAACGTAAGAAGATGGAGGCCGATTACAAGGATATCGAACAGCAACTGGAGATGCACAATAAAGTGAAGGAAGACGCGTTGAAGCAACTGAAGAAACTTCAGGCGCAAATAAAGGACTGCAGCCGAGAAACAGAGGAAGCCAGATCAGCAAGGGACGAACTTGCCGCGATCGCTAAAGAAACGGAAAGAAAAGTGAAGAGTTTGGAGGCAGATCTGATGCAGTTGACCGAGGATTACGCTAGCAGTGAACGAGCGAGAAGGGCTGCAGAAAACGAGAGGGACGAATTACAAGAGGAACTGAATAATAACGCTAACAAAGGCACGTTGATGCTAGACGAGAAACGTAGATTGGAAGCTAGAATTGCGACATTGGAGGAGGAACTTGAAGAGGAACAATCGAATGCTGAGCTGTTAATGGATAGAGCACGAAAGGCTCAAATCTCTATCGAGCAACTGACGAACGATTTGACGACAGAAAGATCGACCACGCAGAAATTGGAATCGCACAAACTGTTACTGGAGAGACAGAATAAGGAATTGAAAGCGAAACTCACGGAATTGGAGACTGCTCAGAGAGCAAAGACCAAAGCTACGATCCAACAATTGGAGTCGAAGATTAATAATCTCGATGAACAATTGGAAACCGAAGCCAAGGAAAGATTCGCGCAGCAGAAGATTAATAGAAAATTGGAGAAGAAATTGAAGGAATTGAGCATACAGTTAGAAGACGAGAGGAGGAACTCTGACCAATTTAAGGAACAGGCGGAGAAAGTAAACGCCCGAATGAAAGCTTTGAAGAGACAGCTAGACGAAGCGGAGGAAGAAATTAGCAGGCATAAAGCGATGAAGAGGAAAGCGCAGAGAGAAATGGACGATATGCTGGAATCTCAAGAAGAGCTAACGAGGGAGGTAGCAAACCTTAAAAATAAATTAAGGTGAGTTTTAGTCTCCATTTTATTCTTATTCTATTTTTATAACGACCAAGTTAGTTTCCTTGTATTTGATAAAAATAAAATAGACACAAAGTTAGTATACTTAGTCGAATAAAGTTTGTACAATCAAGTTACCGAAAATATTCTACCGAAATATCTAGGCATCGAGGAAAAAAGAATAATTCGTACCCGACGTGAAAAAACGGAAGAAATACTTTGGATGTCAAGAATTCCCTCAGTTTTGGTTAGTTTACGAAAACTATTTTTAATCATCTACATATAAATGTATGCATAAACATTAGAGCAGTGCGAATCATCCCAAGTCTCGAAACCATGAACTTTAGTTAGTAGTGGTAGATCGTGGTATTTTTGGTATCATTTCTGTGATCAGATGACCGTGATGGAACATTTGTCGTTTGACCATGGATGCAATGCGATGTCCCCGTGACCTTGTAATTAAAGGAGTGAAAATTTTGTTTTTAGACGAGGAGGTGGACCTCCAATAAACCTTAGTTCGACGCGTTTGAAACGCGGCTCGGTTCAAACCGGTGGTTCCGGCGACGATTCGACGACGCAGGACGAAAGCATCGATGGTGAGGAAACTGTCAACTGAACGAGAAAACACACACCACTTATTGAACCCTCACAACGCAGGAAACTCATAAAAATCCCAGGTCCAGGAGGTGCGTGCAAGATCCGCTTCGACGAAAACCGAGTCCCAAACGCGGCACTCGTTTCCCCCAGTTCTGGAGTCGATTCCTATGCACCCAACGATGCCATTAGATGATGAGGGGACGGCTTTCTTCTGTACATAAGAGACCCGGCAGGGCCGTACCGAGTAGTATTTTATTTCCGTTCCGTTCGGAACGTCGCAGAAAATGGCGAACCCTTTATAGGAAAACACCACGCGACCATTTGTTTTCCGCCCGTTACCGATTAACGTCAACGATTTCGTTGATCATATTCTAGCGAGCTATGATGCCACGATTAAATTCGTATTAAATTTCTTTCTAATAAAATCAGCGCACGTATCGCGTTAATGCCAGTGGCGTGTTAACCGGCGCTGAAATGCCATACTTTCTATAAGCTTTACGTTAGAAATTCTCACGACTATGTCTAATTTTTCTCGAAAGTTTTCGTCATTTTTTGCGAAAAATGCTACTATTCGTCGGGTAAGATTGAGACTAGAAATATATTATTGGGGCTGCATAATCGATAACGAATTAACATCGCATTTAGGCAGCATTAATATCTATTATAATTATATTATAGTTATTATTATTATTATTAATTATTATTATTATCACAGTTTTTATTTTTATCGCGAAGAGCATCGTAATATGTTATTTGTAATTACTTTTAATAATCGAGTCAGTGATGGACGATTTAGGCATCGTTCCGAGAGGTCAAAAACAAAGAAAAACCATCAGCAGTATTCGAAAGAAATATTTTGAAGTAATTAGTCTTGCATATCGTAAACTGGTTCTGAAATATAATAGTCAGCAACGTTCAAAGTTTAAAAAACTTTACTGACCGTACGTGAGTATCTGAAAGGGTAGGTAATTCTAATCTGAATACCGTATTTCGACAAAAAAGTATTATTTTAAGAACAATTTCCCTTGGAAAGGAGTTTGGTAGTGTTTCCCTTATTGATTTTCCTTCGAGTAGTAACTCCTGTTTTTTTTTTTCGACTAAAGACTTTCGCCTATCGGAACGAGCCCGAAATCGACGATCGAGATATATAAATTGGTACTTAGGGGCCGATCGTAGATCGAAAACGTTTTCGTTTTGTACTATTCGATTTGGAATGCATCGAATAATCGATGATAACCGCAGTCAATATTTTTCAATGTGCATGAGCCTACGAGTATACTAAACCGTATAATCAATTTTTATAAAACAATTGCATCGTTAACGTTTTTTACATTTTTCAGAAAACAGTTATGATTCCATCGATTGGATTTCACTCGGGATAACGGTACATCGACGAGTTTTTCTCGATGCGTTTGAAATTGAATGTTCAAAAACTGCCGAATGAATATGAGAAGAAATGAAAGAAACATTAATGTTTTTATACGTGCATTTTTTTACGATACGTGCATTTTTCGTGCATTCAAGAAAAACGCATTTTTAACCTCTTTTTGCCAAGATTTAGGAGAAACGAGCGAAGAAAGCAAGTTTATACGAGGAAATTATTTTTCTTCCAAGGAAGCGAATAAATAAAGGATATCGTATGTTAATAACTATTGAAATTAAATCAAAACGTACAAAATGTACAAAATAAGTGGTAAATCCATTTTCGTGGTTGTTAACTTAGGATTTTAATAGTCGTGTGATCAAATAGGTATCCTAGAAGTTTATTCCACGTATGGAACGAGAGACAAAAAGAGGTTAACGGGCGGTTATCGTATTACGCGTACGTAAGTACGTACAAATATACAGAGTACTCTCTAAATTATACTATATCTAGCAAATATAATTCCGTACCAAAATTTTCAATGAATTTTCAAACGTATTTGCTCAGTTTTTTAATCAAATCAACTATAGATCTAGATATTTGTTAAGACAAAAATACCTAGTTGTATGAATGTAACCAACTTCAACGTTGATAAAAGACTAGGAATAATTTGAAATCACTAATCACGTGAAAACAGACTTGTTATGTTTGATACGGAAATATTATTTCCTAGATACCGTGTCTTTTATAGCGTAGTCTGTATATATTATCAGGGTTATCATATTTTTTTGATACGACTAAGTAATTGTATATGGACAAAACCGGCCTGTTCTTTTTTTATATTAAAAGCTTTCTAGTGACTTTTTAGGCGGGCTTTTCAAATTTGCAATTGAACTGCCACTTAACGCGTCGTGGACGATTTTCTCCACGTAACGATTATAATTAAATCTGAAAAACTTTTGAATAAATTTAATAAACTTTATATACATTTTCGACGGATTTACTTAATAAGAAATAAATTATAATTTCATAAATAAAAATGAAATATTGTATTGAATCATGTCCATCGAGAGGTAAATATTTTTTCGTACATCAGCCGTAAATGGCTGTAAAACTCGCAAACGTAGGAAATACTGACTTTCGATTTTAGTACGTTTTATTTAAGGAAATAATTTTTGAAGCAATCGCCACTTTTTAGGAATATAAATTCCAACGGGATTGGAACCAGTAGGTGTAAAAAGAATAAATGAACTGGAAGGATAAACAGAGGAGTTCAGCAAGTAGATGAATAAGTTTTGACCAACAAAACAATAAATTGTTTTGATACTTTTTATATAAATATATATATTAAAAAAAAAAATATATATATATATATATATACATACGTCAATCGAGCATTTACGACACTTGAATATGTTAAAAGAATGGCATAATAAAAACTGGAAATTAAGGGTAGAAAAATTATTATTTGGTCAGTGATTTTCAATCGACATTTTGGCTATTTGTACGTTGATTTTGATACTTTTATTATTAATAGTATTATTTAAAAAATGTTAACAAATCATTTAGTATGGTAAAACGTTTATTAGTAATAAAATGTGGTTACTTGTTATTTTGATAACACCATGTATATTATTTTGATAATATCATGTAAATCCACTGGTATAAATATTATAACAAACTATTGAAGATGAAGTAATAAAGAATACAATTTAAAAATCGATAATGTTCGGTTGTTGTATACGTTCGAATATTTATTTAAGCATGTATGTCAAAAAATGTTTATTTAATTTTTGACGAAAGTAAAGTTGAAAAAACACAAGAAAGATTGAATAACACTGAACCAATGATATTAATAAATTAATCCCCACTGTTTACAATCAGTCTTCTTCCAATTCCTTTAAGTGCCGTACCAATGATACACTTGCAAGATCCAGAGGAGTTTTTTCTTCTTTATTCTTCAATAATAAATTGGCGCCATTTTTTACCAAAAGCTTAGCTTCGTCGACGCGATTTTCTTCGCATGCTAAATGCAATGGGGTATTGCCATCGGCGTCTTTGCTATCTGAAAAAGTATCAATTTGTTATATAGTCAAATTAAGTAAATTCAGAGATGCCAACCTATCTTTAAATTTTTTCCGCATTCGATCAGAAGTTTCACAATGGCAATGTTCCCTTTTGATGCTGCCCTATGCAACGGCGTAGCACCGCGTTTATCCGTGATATTAACATCTGCATCTTTTTCTAATAATGCAACGCAAATAGACTTCCAGTTCTTTGATGCTGCGTATTGTAAAGCGGAATGGCCATCCTGTGTTTTAGCATTAACATTTGCTCCTTCGGTTAACAATGTCTTGACTACTTTTTCACGACCCGCCGAAGCTGCTAAAATTAACGGTGTCATATCCATCTAAATAATAAAAATATTTTATCGGTTTAACGATATATTGTTTTGTAATAAAAGTAACGAAGACAAGTATTTCCTAATTTATGATTTTACGCAGTATTTTCAAATAACACCGCTTAAAAGTGACTATTGGTAACACTGCAGCGAAAGTCATATAGCTAAAAACGTAGGGAATAAATTGATGTCACAAATTTTATCATTTGAAAATTGTGAATTTTCAATTTGTAGTTGTACCAAATCAGCCAATTAAAACTGGACATGATTCTATTCCGTCTAGATATGTCTCTATATTTCTAGATCCATGGAACTAGACACTGTGAAATTCTAGTCCCAATTAGTTTCATTTTTATTTAGAAATTAAACTTACGTCATCGGTTGGATCTACCGGTACCGCAAGAGATAATAAATATCTGACCAATTCATCGTGGCCCCCAAGCGCTGCCCAATGTATCAGCATCCGACCATTCTAAAAAGACAAATTTGAATAATAACATAACCTTGCCAATGTATCGAATGAATAGGATACCTACGGTGTCTTTCGCTAACTTTAATTTTTCGTTTTCGCTTAAACAACGTTTAACATCGACGGTTTTGCCGCGATAGGCCATATCATGCAGTGATTCTGACATTTTATTTGTTTCTCAAAATACGCAAACAAACCGGGAATGATTAAAACACAATTTGAACAATCCACAAACGCCATCTGTCAAAGGTGTACTGTCATTCGATCCAAAAAAATGCATGAATTGCTAACAATGTGAATAATTTAATCACGTAATTGTAAGTACTTAATAAATAATAAATTAGATACATTAAAAAAGATATGTATCGCAGGGGTAATGTTTGAATTTTTCAATTTATCATCTCACGGGCCAAATAGTAGTATCGTATTGTTGTACTGTCGCCGATTTAGAAGGAACCTTAAAGTACAAACAAACTGAGATTCCTAAAGTGTGTTGATGTACGGTGTATAGTATGTAAATATTTGTGTAATTATTTGTTTACTAATATTTAAAGTATTTTAATCATTACGTGATATGGCTAAGCATCATCCAGATTTAATCTTTTGTAGGAAACAGCCAGGTGTTGGTAAGAATGAAATTTTTTTAGGCTATGTTATGCTTTACTTTTTAGGTTAGAATTGTTTATGTTGTGTTATATTATTGTTGCATATATAATATTAGAAAATAATGTTTGAGCGTAATTTTGACGTTACAATTTTAATATCTTTAAAAGCATACAACATAGGGTATATTTAAATGCTCAAACTTCAAATTCATGTACATGAATTTTATCTTAAAATTATTTGTTGAATTTCAGCTATTGGACGATTATGCGAGAAGTGTGATGGTAAATGCGTAATTTGTGACTCCTATGTAAGACCATGTACTCTGGTCAGAATTTGTGACGAATGCAATTATGGATCTTATCAAGGCAGATGTGTTATCTGTGGAGGTCCTGGTGTTTCAGATGCCTATTACTGCAAAGAATGTACAATTCAAGAAAAGGATGTAAGTACCTTTCAAGAAGACATGTATCATAGTACTGTTTTAGCTCCTTAATGCTCAGTTATTGTCATACTACAATGAACAGTAGTACAACAGAACAATTTTGTTGCAGAGAGACGGGTGTCCGAAGATCGTAAATCTTGGAAGTTCAAAGACAGATTTGTTCTATGAAAGAAAGAAATATGGATTCAAGAGAAGATAAGATTCGGTACTGAAGATCAATTAATTTATATAACAAATTTTTCATATGTTCCAAATAAATAGTTTTCTTGGTAATTGTAATGATTTTTTTATTTCTGTATTTATAAACAAAACAGATAAATTCATTTTTGTATAAATTAATTTAAATTTGTAGTACAATTGCGACTCCAGCAAGGATCCATTTGCTAGCCCTCTCTTTCGTCCTCAAGTTAAACGTCCAAACATAGGTCGGACCTCGAGATCGTGTTTTATACACAGGACACTCATACATATTTTTAAGATCCTGCTTATCTTGTGTGATTGCTCTGATGTACACTACTGGCATCAATGGAAATAATTCCTTGAATCGAGAGTCCATAATACATGCTGCTTGAATATCCCACCGTGCACCTTCCATGTACAATCCATTTATGTACGCTCCTTCCCTCGGCGCCGATCTATCATTCATTAAAAATTGTTATTCAGAACAAGAGGAAAAATACAGAGGAAGAAGGTCGTTTTAACTTACGTTACTTCTTCTTTATATTTTCTCATTACTTCACAGTGTAAACACATTTTATCCAGGGGCCACTCATTTTTGCGGGCAGCCTGTTGCATGATGGCGGTCAAAAATGATTGGGGACTGAAGAAACCACCCAGCCACACCGATGGTGGTAACTATGTGAAAAGATTCTAATTTTATTATGAATCGTTTGTTTATTGAACTTAATTCATTTATAGGTATTTATATGTACTATAATAGTCTATGTGTACTGTTATATAGAGGCATATTTTGGAGAAAGAAGATAGCGATTAACGAGTTTAAACAAAGTGAAACCTTACATTAAAATCTGAAGACCAGCTGGATAATTCGGATATCCTGTTCAACATGTCTGAATACCATCCGGTTAATCCTAAGCTTGAAGGATACGCTTTTAGTGTCCAAGATGGTGGAACGATATCTATCAGAATATAATTTTGCAGATCCTCCATGTCAGCGTTAATCGTCAATTCTCCCTGTCATAACATACAGTAGTATTATACTTTATATAGAAAGACAGTATTCGCAGATACTCGAACAGTAATCGCTACCTTTAAACCTAACTCCAATTCTCGCAACGACCTTTTTATTTCGTCGCACAGCATATTCATTCTTTCGCATTCTTGCAAAGCTACTGTCACAAATGGCGTACGGTCTTCAACCTATTTTAATAATAAACAAATTTAATTATATGAACATCTTGAAATTCTTTGATCGCGTAGAACCTTGTTATAAAGCTCTTGCATATTAAATTCTTCCGGTAGTTTATCCAATAAATCCTCTATGAGTCCTTTGATCTTGTCATCCCTTGATATTTCGCCGGAAGCCGCCTCGCTTACAGTACTCGATAGTATTTCCAATAACGTTTTGAATAAGTTTTCGGCGGTTGTAGTTAAGAAACCTAATAAAATTTCATGTCATATGATTTTAATTTATCAGAGATTTCAGCAAACCGATTACCAATTTCTGCGTTGGGATGAAGTCCATAAAGTACGGGACTCTCGGCAGGCAAATAATCGTCTACGTATTTGTGATATCCTGTATAATCGCTGTTGGGTGGCACCAAGAATTCAGGTGCGAAATATAATTCACCTAGGAAATTAATATTTCATATTTATTATTCTAATTCATTCAATTAATTTTCAGAATGTTGGCGGAGGACATGGTGAATGCCAGAATGGAATGAAATAAAAATGGCTGTTCGATTTTGGATTTAGCTGTGGATCACTTATTGAAACTTATCAGGTAAAAACCAAAATTATCAACAAAATATCCACACTACATATCCAAAGTATTTTACCTTCAACTAATTCCGATCTTAAATATTCCATCAGGTACGTTCTACACAATCTCCTGTCCCAATCATCCGTAATATGACCACCATACATTATTTCGCCGAACAGATAACGAAGATCTTCCCAAGGTACCTTGATACTATTTTCCAAATAATTAAATAGCACAGACACGCTAATTGTCAGGTCACCAACGTTGAATGGATATGACTGTCAGAAAATAGTTTACAGATTTTTGTAGTAAACATTCTGTTTTAATTTGCGAGTTTGTTAAGGCGAATGTTTACTCTGTTCCATCCTTGTGCTCCAAATTTCCGACGTTCCGCGACTACGGCGTGATAGTAACAAAGAGCGAATAGTATCGCTTTAAATTCAGTTTCCTTGCTGCAAGAGTCTAGAGTTTCTTGGGTAAAATTGTCCAATGCTTTGTGGATATTCGCTTGAATGCCTGACGGTGGTTCGTTCGTAATTTTTATCGCAGATTCTAATATACCCTATGAATTTAATTTAATTCAGTAAAGAGACACCCGTTTGGAAATTTGGAAACTTGGAAGTTATAAATTTAAGAAGGTGGAAATTACAGAGTTAGATATTTGAAAATCTGAGACTTCAGAATTAGGGAATTTGGGAATATAAGAAATTAGAAACGTAGAAAGATGAAAATTTAGAAATTTGAAGATTTGGAATTGTAAAAATTAAAAATTTAGATGTAAAATTAGAAACTTGAAAATCTAGAAGCCTAGAACATTAGAAATTATCTATCTGAGAATTTAAAAAATTAGAAACCTGAAAAGTTAGAATCCTAGAAAATTAGAAATTTGAAAAATTATCTGCCTAAGAATTTAGGAAAATATCACACTTTTAACTAAACTTTCGTTTACACCATTTGATATAGTCATTACCATTCGATATGGAGCACATTAATATTTATATATAAATTAATTACCTGAGGTATAAGCGATTCATGAGGATCGGCACTGGGTTCAGCGCTAACAAACAGCCGATAATCGTCATGAGGGCTCTCGAAAAGTTGTTCCATTCTTTTTTCCAACGTAGGTAACCATCTTTTTACTAAGTGAATATTTTGTAATATAACCCAGTGTCCTTCGGTCGCTGAAATTTCCATTGCTTGTTCGGCTACGGGCTCTTGACCCTGGCCCAGCGATACGTTATGGAAATTTCTTCCATCCATAGTGAAACCCAGTTTTTTTCCAAGATGTTCTACGTCCTAAATTCATATCATTGTAATATTGTACTGTGTTTTATATTATTTTACTGTTTATTTTATGCTACTTTACTATTTTTATCGTTTTACTACTGTTTTACTACTGTCACATTTTCTAATTTTATTTATTTACCACTTTACACTTTTCTTGCTCTACTGTTTTATTTTACAAGTTTAACATTTTAATGTTTCAACGCCATTGAATTGTTTTATCATTTAATATTGCATGTACTGTATTATCACTGCTACAATATTTTATCATTTTACTATTTTAATATTTTACTGTTTCACTATTTGCTCTCGATATTTTTTAGTATATTTCACAATTCTAATCTACGTCTTTACAAAGAACTTAAAGTAAGTTCAATTAGGATTAAAAAAGAATTCTGATTTAAATGTCCCTTGATATAAAAACTTTCATCTGGCATCATATTTTACCTTTAACGGATCAACACCGGGAGACAAGATGAAAAATACAGGCGTGATCGAACTAGTCTCTTCAAAGGATTTGTGGAAAGGAGGAGATCTAGATTCAACAAACTTTGAACCCATTTTCTCTTCCACGAAACACCTGAATAAAAATACATAATTTAATCGATTATAAGACTATTCTTTGACAAATACAAAGTAGACCAACTTGATCGCGTATGTCATTCGATCCAGCCTGAGACATCTCATGATGCACAGCCTTTGGAATGCAGTTTTATTTTTCCAATCTTGAGGAAAACTTTCTCGTTCAGGTGTTTCCGACTCCACAAATTTCTTCCACCTTTTCGCAGCACCTTCTATATCTTTTTCCAAGTTCAGAAAATCACCCATTTGACTTAGAAATTTGATTCCACCCCAGCTGACGTTCGATAGAAAGTCCACGGGACTGGTCAAGTCGGGGACGTATGGGAATTGTAGCAGGAAATTGAGTTCTTCTTGCGATATTTCCTCTCCTTGTACGCAAATCTGAAATACAATTGTTTTTATTAATACAAGGTTCTTCTAGCTTTGCTTAAATTGTAGATAATTAAGAAACAGGTAAAAGGGAATTAATTTTGAATTTATACAACGAAATTATTTTATGAATGTAGGTATGGTAGACTACTATTGAATATATCAAGACTTGACTAGGATTGAATTTGTCAGAAGTAGACTACCATTGAATGTATCAAAACTTGACTAGGATTGAATTCATCAAAAGTATACCAGCGTTGAATTTACGAAGATCAACCAGTGTTAAATTTATTTCAAGCAGATTATTAAACTTCTAAAAAATATGTCGGTGTATAGTCCCTGGCCATCGAAGGACCACATAAAATTTCGCTTCCATGGCTATAACATTATGTCGTATATGGAAAATTGTCTTAGGTCATGCAAAATTATTACTAAATACGTTGATAACATATACATAGCAATTTGTTATCGTGATAATAAATTGTGTGGGTGACGAGCGATTAAGGGTCGTGCGAGCGTTTACGTTAGGCTCGAGTATCGATAGCGCGTCAGGTGAAATTTGAATGCCATAGAAAATGTCTGCCTACTCAAAAGACTAGTTTACAACTCTCCAACCACATTATCCGAGTTGAAAAGAATTACAGATATTTGGGAAAATAATGAAGATATGAAGCGTGTGATTTATACAGAGCATGCCGGAAGCTGTGACCAAAGCAAAGGGTGGAAATACAAGATATTAACGTGTGTTAATAATGTTATGTACAGTAGTAGTGTATCGTGGTAGCTAATAAATTATATCATTAGCAGGTCTTTTAATTTTACGGAAAACGTGAAAAATGCTGAAAATAGTGGTCCTAATTCGATGGTCAGTTAGGTGATAGATTCGTATGAAAATTTAGGCATCATCCATATATGTATTGATGCCGCAGCGGTTAAATAAACCTTACTCTAATAGCTTGTTACATTTTCTACTTCCTTAAACATCATAAAATATTTTCGTTGTTGAAATTTAAAATTGACTAATTTTTACGATTATTCTTTACTTGAATGGTCATTTGACAAAGAAACGTTAATTTGTCGTTCTCAAACAGTCCTCTACTGGTGTAAACGAAAACCAAATGAGTGATGCTGTCGATCAAAAATGCAACACGTTGCGACAACTCTTCCGAGGCTTCCGCAAACTTAATAGCGTTTTGAAAGACGACGCTGAATGCTTTCAGGGAAAATTGGTAGAGCATATTTATCTTGTTCAAATCGTTTAGGACGAAGTATAGGAGACTGGCTCTGGACGCGACAGGTCGATAAAGTTCCCGAGCTTCGTCTATTTTTGCTGCAGTCGTTCTGGCTTCTACTACTTTTATTTGTATCTCCGCGGCAGTTTTCTTCGTTGTTTCGAGATTTGTCACTAGATCGACGTCGCTTAAGATGTTTGGTCCAGCAGTTGATAGTCTGTAGGAGATAAGTTTGTCTGTTAGTCGTTTACAGCTTTCTCAGGGAGTTGGGAGTGGGAATATTCTTAATCTTAAGAATTTTGTAGAATTTTTAGATTTAAAAATTTGCATGTTCTCAAATATTCAAATCCTCAAATATCCAAATTTCTAAATTTCCAAATTTCTAAATTTCCAAATTTCTAAATTTCCAAATTTCTAAATTTCCAAATTTCTAAATTTCTAAATTTCCAAATTGTTCAAATTCCTAAATTTCATTGTTACAAATTTGACTTCTGTCATATATGTATTTATAAAGTCATATTCCTTGTATGAAATTATGTTCTTATATATATTGTATTTATTGTATAATATATTGTTACTTGTTCTTTGTTGTAATTGTTATAATAACGATTCATATGTATTTATATTTCTTTATATATTGTTTTAAAGACAATTATACATCTTTACATATTGTTTAAAAACAATTATATGTCTTTATGTCTTATGTCCTTATATATTATATTTGTTATATCATACATCATTGTGTACTTTGCCATAACTGTTATTATAGCAATTATAGAAATTTAGGATAATAACAATTTAGTTATAATAACAATCATAACAGTTATATTATTATGTACTTCAACAAAATTGTTATAATACAAGATTTGTTCATTCTCAACCTTTATTGTTGATGTAAGGCTGAATAGCTTTAACGACTTCAGGATGAATATTTTCCTTGTCGTAATTTCGAAGTGAAGAGAGGAACTGATCGGCGGAGCCCATCATCGCTTTACATGCTTTCCAACTCCTGTCTTTCGGTATTTTACCTTTCGGGGCGAATAAGACCAGCACTGCTTCTGCCACCATCGCAACTTGTGGCGGTGGTGTGCCAAATGATTTCAGTTCAGTCAAATTGTTCTGTAATGTAACGATTTTACTAAATGGACTATTCACGTTAGAAACTCGTCAAGATGGCGGATCTCGTACTCATTTTGTTCGTACTCATTTGTACATTACAGAAATTATAGAGCTTTTGTTCAAATATGTGGTAACTTGTGTTGAAAGAAAGAATTATAAGCTAGTTCACTTATAGTAATTAATTTATAGCAAAATTTGGAAAATCATAGCAGGATTAGATTATGTTTTTACTGATATTTTTTAAAATTACTTTGTTTAACGTGTCAAGAGCAGCTTCTGCTTGACGAACAGCTGGTTCTGCCTTTGCTAAATCTTCGTCGCAACGTTTCTGTCTTTCTGCCACTGTTTCTTTTATTTCTGCTACTTTTGCTTCTTCCTCCGATACTGTAAGAGATTCTTTCCTTTAGTTCTCATTCTTTTGTGACTTTTCGTTAGGTGCAGCATTCACGAATGTTTAAGATTAGAAATTTTCTAGTTGGGAAGTTTTTTAGATTTAAAAACTTGATGTGGATATTTACAAATTTACAAAATTGCGAGTTTATAATTTACTAAATTTCAAATTTCATTTGTAGAAGTTGTCAGATTTATTCGTTTATTAATTTTGAATTTAGAGGTTCATTTTTCAGATTTAAAAATTATAACATTTTTAATTGAGAAGTTCTCAAATGTACAATTTAGAAGTTTTCCAAATTAGGATCTTGCACACGTACAATGAATTTAGAAATTTATAAACTAAATTTCTAAAAATTGAACGCAACTGGTACGAAGATCCACAGTCACACTTTTCCTCATTCGCACAAGGTTTATATTGCATTTCAATTTACTTTACCAATTGCTTTCTCAGCTTCAGCTTTAGTGTTTTCCGCTCGAACTTCAGCAAGAATTTTATCCGCAATCTCGTTCTTCTTCTTTAATTCAGTTTCTTGAACCGCTAATATGACTCTTAACTCGCTCACCTTTTAATTTAAATCCATTATGTGCATACCATATTTAGCTTACCATATTAATTTAATTTATGTGTTACAATAAATGTAATTAATTCGCTAATTATGTCTGAATAAAAAAAATATTTGTTTTTTTTTTTTCGTAAGGTGCAAAGAGTGCACGTATTCGAAAGCCGTGTAAGCAATACTATGTGACTAATATTTATTTTTATATATTGTTTCACTTTGAAATTACTAGTTCAGGCATCACTAATCTAATCACGTAGCGTAATTAGAAAAACTGATTACGAAAGAATCACCTGTCCAGCGCAGCTCTCCAATTTCTCTAACCCATTTTTCAGTCTTTCTATCATGGCTATCACGTTGTGAGTTCGCTCGACGAGTAACTTTGAATATAAAGAAATTTGTTCCAGAAATGACTTTGGTGTCGCGTAATTGTATCTCTTTTCGCTTTGGAGGTAAAGCGAGGAAATATCGTTGACGCTCGCGTGCGCGTAGGACATGAACAGGGATGCTGACTCTCTTAAATTTTCTGGAAGTTCTTCTAATTCCTATGATTAATCATTGAGATTATTATAAATTAGTGGATAAGATAATTATTCTTATATACTCATAAAATTTATAATTATTTTTGTAAACTTTTAAAATTTATAATTATTCTGATGTTTGTTAGAATTAATAATTGTTATGATGTACTCTTAGAATTTATAATTATTCTGATATACTGCCAGAATTTACTGATAGTACATTTTGAACACTTATTATGATATCTGTTAAAATTAATAATTATTATGATGTACTCTTAGAATTTATAATTATTCTGATATACTGCTAGAATTTACCGGTAGAACATTTTAAACCTCGTTTCGCAATAACTAAAGTTTACCTGTAAAAATCTAGAGGAAACGGATATTAAAGCTTCCTGCGGCCAACTCTGGAACCAGTTGATGGAAGTGTTGTTGACGAGAGCTGGAAATTGTCTGGCTCGGGTTCTCAAAGTCGCTCCAACGGGAGAAAAGCACAGAATGCATTTCAATCGACTGCGAACTCGGTCTATAAAGAATTTCCAGCAATTTTCTTTCGTGTCCATCATACCAGTTTGTTTCACCTGCGAAAAAGACAGTATAATTCATATACAGAAAATTGTCTTAGGTCATGTAAAAGTATTACTAAATAGGATTAGGATTTAATTTATTAGAAGTAGACTATCATTGAATGTATCAAAACTTGACTAGGATTGAATTCATCAAAAGTATACCAGCGTTGAATTTAGGAAGATCAACCAGTGTTAAATTTATTACAAGCAGATTATTAAACTTCTAAAAAATTTGTCGGTGTATAGTCCCTGGCCATCGAAGGACCACAGAAAATTTCATTTTTATGGCTATAACATTATGTCGCATATGGAAAATTGTCTTAGGTCATGCAAAATTATTACTAAATACGTTGATAACATATACATAGCAATTTGTTATCGTGATAATAAATTGTGTGGGTGACGAG